GCTCCGCTCCGCTCCGCTGCACGGCGGCCCCAGAGTCCGGCAGCGCCTGTAGTACAGCACCGGGTCAGCGCCGCAGGACCTCACCCCACTCGGGCCGCACCTCCGGGTACGAGGGTCCTGCCCGGCCGAGGGCTCGGCGCTGTCTGTGCGGGGCCCGGCACAGCCCCCGGGCCTGAGTCACGCGGCGGGGGGAGCGGATGGGAAAGCCCCTTGCGCTCGCGGTCCCGCATAAGCCCGTCCGGGGGGGCAGGGAGTTCCCCGCTTCCCCCCAGGCCAGGCGCGGGCCGGACTCTCCGCTTCGACCTCAGGTGTAGGGCGGAGCCTCCCCGCCGTGGGGGGCGGGGAGGCTGTGCCTGTCCCTGCCAGACGCTATTTTAAACGGAACCCGGCTCTTAAATCGCTGGCCTGGAAGGGAAGTCTGGTTCTCCGTGCTCACAGGTCTCGCAATCACCAAGCCAAACCTTTCCTCCTCATTTGTAAAAAAGCAAAACAACCCCCGCCTTTCCTCCTTATTATGACCCACAAAACGGGACAGCGAAGATGTCCTAGAGCCGCTACCAACCAGTGGAGCAGGGGCACTGCCCAGGCTATGCGCTGGCGACAGCCAAATCCGGGACGTGCATTCACACCCGTAGCCTGCCAGTTTTTTGGTCTATTGATGCTGCTCAGAATCAGCACTGGTAGTAAAGCCTGCATGGCATTGGGATGATGGATACTCAGTTACAAATCAAAGGCCTTTGTCTTGGTTCTGTATTTATGCATTTGGCTTTACTTGCTTAGGTGCAGCACTTGCCATTGTTTTTACTGATTTCCCCCCCCCCCCATTTTTTTGTTATTTGTAATGCCTTTCTCTAATTTATCAAGATCCTTATGAATTTTATTTCTACCCTCCAAAGTGCTTGTAACCCTTCCCAGTTTTGTATCACCTGCAAATTGTATCACATACTGTATTTCTGCATCCAAGTCATTAAGCAAGCAGACCTAGAATAATTCTTGAAAGTTACTTCCAGTCTGACATCTGTCCATTTATAGCAGGGGGCAGAGGGCCGCTTACTAAGTTTTGGCAAGGCATGGAGGGCCACATGACAGGCAGCCCAGGGCAGATAAATATTAATTTTCTAGATGTTTTAGGGGCCCCATGGGCCGGATAGAATGGCCTGGCGGGGGCATTTTGCCCACCCCCGATTTATAGTTACTCCTGGACAATGTTGTATCCACTAAATGGTTATTCTGTCTAGCACACCTTTCTCCAGCCTGTTTATGGCAGGGCCATGTCAACAGGCTTACTAAAGTCCAAGAGTATTATCTGCCAGACCAGTTACCCATTTAAAGAAGGCTAGCAAATTGTTTTGGTATGATTTGTTTGCCACAAATCCATGCCAGTTACTAGCAATGGTTTCTTAACCTTCCAGATACTTAGGAACTGAATATTTTATAATTTGCTCTGTTAACTTCCGAGGTTGAAATCAGGCTGATTTGTCTGTAATTCACATTAAACACCAGTACTGTGCTGTCCTCCAGTCCTCTGGGATTCATCTGTGAGTTTATATTATTGCTATTGGTTCAGAGATTTCTCCCCCTAGTTTCTCAAGCACTGGGGGTGTATTCTATCAGGCCCTAATGACTTAAATTAATTCAAATTAGTCAACAGTTCCCCAACAGGATCTTATTATCTGTGGCCTCATCCCCACCACCCTCTTCCCTGTATTAATTTTGCTGTGTTCTCAGTCACTCTTTATTTTTCATGAAGACTAATTAAATTAAACACTGAGCAGATCTGCTTTCTTTGCAGCTTTCATTAATAGTTCACCTATGTTCAGGGTTGATGCATAGGGGGTGCACATGGGTGTATATGCACTCCCTGAGCATGGCGGTGCACCCCTTACAAAAAGGAGCCGCCAGCACCGTTGGTGGTGCCTGCAGGTGGTCAACGCTCGCCAACCCCCCCACTGCTGACAGTGCCAGTGGCACCTGCAGGAGCTCCTGTTTACCGCCCCTGCCCTGCTCCCACCACCATTGTGCCCCCCCAGCTGCCGGGGCACACGTCATTCATGCCTGCATGTCAGATAAACTAAACAGAAGGAAGCTCCTAATTTAAACCAGAGGTTATCAAATCATGGAAGAATATTTGGGAAATACAGAGTGGGAATTATTGCTTTTGGTTGTGTTGTAAAGAAAAAAGCAGGAAGAATCAGGCAACAAGCTGGAAAAAAATCTTTAGTGTGCATGAAGTAAAAAGGAGCAAGGTATTACCTCAGAGCTATTTAGACACCAAACTCCTATTGAGTTAACCTGTTTGATTACTTTTGAAAGTGACAATAAGATGGATTATTAGGTATCTAACAATTTTTTTAATCTGTTCCATAGAAACTACAATTTCTAAAGCAGTAGAGTCTAGAAACTCTAGTTGAGGCCAGGGATACAAAGTGGGAAATGGAATATGAAAAGCTAGAAAGCAACAGGAGTCTTAATAATCTGGCCCTCTAAATTCTTCAAAGAAGCACTAACTCCAAATGAAATCAGCATATGTGGATAAGACAAGCCATGCTTCCTTCCTCCTCATTACTCCAAGTTACATATGAGAACACAAGCACAAAGAAAACAAGGCCATAATTCAGCAGCATGTATAATCTCTATGCAACAAATATACATAAGTGCTTTCCTGAATTCAAGTCTATGTGACTTGCCCAAGGTCTATCAGAAACTCTGTAGATGTCAAAGTCTTAAATCTTGGCAAAGATTGAAAGTTTCTTGAGTATGCAGTGCATTAACCAAAACAGTAATCTTCCTCTCTAAACACTTGCAGGAAATAGAAAATAAATTTCATAGCACTTAAATGAGGTGGAAGTGTTTTATGAAAAAGGTAATATCTACCTGTTGATGTTCTGATAAATGTTTTTTAGTTGAAACAAGTTTTTTTGCTTTCCATGGTCAGTTTTTTGGGTACTTCATGTGCTGTATACCTAACAAGCACTCAAGTTAATATAAATATAATGGAGGGGAATTACTATATTTTTTCATTTCCAGATGTCATTTAGTGTGTCCCTCAAATAATGCTATTATATTAAGAAAGAACAGCTGAATGAATACCACTGATTGCAAGATATCTGTTATTGCTCTGTGCAAGATATCCATTAGTGCTCCACTGAAGCACAACCTTGTATTATGAATGTAAACAAACAAACATTTATAGTCAAGCCTGTTTAATTTTAGCTTGTTTTAAAATGACAAGTCAGGCATAAATGCATAAGAGTGAAGTTCATTCCTGAGATTTTTTAAAGCAGTTTAGGGAATTAGGTAGATGTTCCCACTAATATGAACACAGTGTTTAATCCTTCAAGCAGTTTTGAAAACATGTTTCCTGGTATCTGGATACATGTATAAACTGGCTTTCACCATGATATGTGACATCTCACAAAAACTGACTTCAGGCAAGGAAGGACATTGTTCACTATTGTACCTGCAATAGTTAAGTTACTCAGGGCAAGACTTTGCTGTGAGTGTTGTAGCTGGACAAGGTAAACTGGGAAGTCTCACAGAACTACACTCTGAAGTCCCGCTGCAGGAGTAGCAGGGGTCAGGCATGGGCAGATCTAGGATTTTGAAAAAGGAGGTGCAGATGGTGAGGTGCATCTTCACATAAGAAGCAACACATTTTTCTTCTGTTAAAATAAACTGGAAAGTGTGGAAGACTGGAAATAATCTGGAAACAGTGCTGAGGCCCAGGACCGTATGAAGCAAAAACATGTACAACTTCTTTGGAATGACTTAACAATCTGTAGGGCAGTGAAATAGGAGCTTCAGGAGCAGGTAACACAGCAGGATTGCTTAAACAAAGGATAGCTTTAAAAAGAAGAGAGAGAAGTTAACACCTGTGGCATGAAGAGTTTAGAGGGGATCCCATAGAATCAATAGATTACAATGGGCCATGGAGTGAGCTGACTTCCTTAGCACAGCCTGACTGGAAATGCTGCTGCCACTATCGAACAGTTGTGGTTTTAAACTTCGAGTGGAATTAAAAAAAAAAAAGGGGGGGGGGGGGGGGGGGGGAGCAGGGAGGAGGTTCTGCAAGTGCACCAGTGTACACCTTCTGGATCTGTCCCTGATCAGGATACAAGTTAACAGTCCCTAACCCTATTTTAAACTTGCCACCCCTAGGGCTTCGTTTTCCTGCGCAGAAAAGGGCACGCACGTCAGAGGCGGGCTCTGGTTAAGTCAGCGCTGATCGAAATGTCGGAGTGACATTCTGTGGGCCCCAGCATGGCCCTCACGCCGCAGTGACGCCACCAGGGCAGGGCACCTTGCTACAGGCCCGCCCGATGCCGCGAGCAGGGCGTGACGGCACGGCCACGTGCCACCTTCACAGACCCAACGGCCTGCCCCCCCTGCCCTTCACCAGCATCGGAGAGCCGGTGCAGCAACAGCCACAGCAACCCCACGCATTCCCCCCCCGCCATTGGCTCTGCGCGCCGTGGGCGGAGTCTAGCGGCCCCAGACGTCTCTCTCCGCCTCCGGTGCTAGGAGGTGGCGTTGGGGATACACGTCAGCCCCCCCCGGGGGCCCCCCCCCGCCGCTTCCAGGGGCGCTGCGCTGTAACGCTTGGCGCGGGCCTGCCCTGTGCCACTCGCTGCCTCCCCCCGTGAGCCCGTGCTGAGCCGTCAGCTAGGAGAAGCGGAGTGTGAGCAGCGGACAGAGAACGAGCAGCTTC